AATCAGAATCAGAATCATCAGAATCACAATCACAATCAGAATCCCAGAATTCAGGCTCAGGAGCTCAGGCTGATCCCAGAATCAGAATCAGAATCAGAATCAATTTCAGAATCAGAATCCCAAAATTCAGCTCAAGCTCAGGCTGATCCCAGAATCACAATCAAAATCACAGTCCCAAAATTCAGCTCAGGCTCAGGTTGATCCCAGAATCAGAATCAGAATCAGAACCAATATCAGAATCAGAATCCCAAAATTCAGGCTCAGGAGCTCAGGCTGATCCCAGAATCAGAATCAGAATCAGAATCAGAATCAGAATCAGAATCAATATCAGAATCAGAATCCCAAAATTCAGGCTCAGGAGCTCAGGCTGATCCCAGAATCAGAATCAGAATCAGAATCAGAATCAGAATCAATATCAGAATCAGAATCCCAGAATTCAGGCTCAGGAGCTCAGGCTGATCCCAGAATCAGAATCAGAATCAGAATCAATATCAGAATCAGAATCCCAGAATTCAGGCTCAGGAGCTCAGGCTGATCCCAGAATCACAATCACAATCCCAAAATTCAGCTCAGGCTCAGGCTGATCCCAGAATCACAATCAGAATCAGAATCAGAATCAGAATCAGAATCAATCAGAATCAGAACCAATATCAGAATCAGAATCCCAGAATTCAGGCTCAGGAGCTCAGGCTGGGCCCAGAATCCCAGAATTCCTGAGGCAGGAAGAACCTTCCAGCACCACCCCAATCCCTGTCCCCAAGGCCACATCCAGGCTGCTCTGGGACAATTCAGGGACCCCAAACCTCCCTGGGCAGCTCAGCCCAAGGCCTGACCACTTTTGTGATATAAATTATATAAATTTAGATAAAATTGTATCAAATTAAGAATTAATAAAATAATGAGTCAATCTTAATTTTATATAAATGCACCTAAACTTTATATAAAATTTAGATAAATCGATATAAATTTCATAAAGCATATAAATTTATATGGTCACTATAATAATTAATCGATCAAACATAATTTTATATAATTTTTATACATTTTATATAAAATTTAGATGGATTTATATACATTTTATAAAGTTTATAAATTTATATAATTAATATAATAACTAATCAATCATAATTTAAGATATCAGATTCATAAAAATTCTATATAAATTTACCTAGCTTTTATATAAATCTTATATAGAATTTTTATAAATCTTATATAAATTTTAGAATCTTATGTAAAAATTTATATTATGTTTACGTTTTTTATATTAATTTCATATTAAATTTTATATATAATTTTAAATAAATTTTAGATAAAATTTAGATAAATTTATATAAATTATATAAAGTCTATAAAATTATATAGATTAATATTTATCCTTTTTATTTATTTATATATCTATACATATATACACACTATTTATATTATTTAATAAAAATATATAATATTACATATTTTAAAATATATACTAGCTATAAAAAAGTTTTTAAAATTCAAAATTACTTGTCTGGCAACAGTGCTGCTGTTAAAAAATGCCATAAAAATTAAAATTATAATTAATTTCTGTTCACTCAATGAAACTCTAATGCATTTATTAACATTTTGTGTTCTGTTTGGGTCAGATCCCATCCAATCCAGAGCTTTTTGTCAGGAAGGGATCACCTGGAATTTTTCTCTCTGTTTTCATTCCATGGCCTCAGGTGGAGAACAAACACCCAAACACTGAATTTTACAGAACCCTTTTGATGCCACCTGCCGGGCTTGAAATGTTCCAGGCTGAATTTGAAGATTTTTAAGATACAGCAGCTGCAATTAAAAATTCGTTATCAGGGAGAAAGTCCCAATTTTGCCACTCATTATTCCAATGATTTTCAGTAGCCCCAGAGCTCTGCCTACCCACCAACACCCAGCTCTAAAATCAGATATTTCAGCTGCTGTTTATTTTCTCAGCCAAACAGCAGGAAAAAAAAAANCTGCTCCATTTTCTGCAGTGTTGGGGGCACAGAGGGATTGGTGAGAAAGGGCCACAATCAGATGTTGTTTGAACAGACAAATAATTAGTTACTAGGTGTTAATATTATATAATAAAAATATTATAGGTAGAAAGGTAGAAATAAAATACATTCTAAAAGTTAATTGAACAAAATAGCTTTAAAAGACCTTAAACCTGTGTGTCTGGTGACTTTTGGTGCCTTTTTCTTCATACACTGAGATGCAGACGAGTACTAAACTACTGATAAGAGAAAAATAAACAACAGCCTGAAGAAAAAGAAACAAAAGTCCTGTCCATCTCTCAATCCTAGCACAAAACTTTTTAAGGATCTCCCCATCAAGGGATTTTTTTGGGGAGAGGTTTCCACAATCTAGAAAAGGATTCCAGAGCTGCTGTGCTTCCCTTCTCTGCAGGAGGCAAAAGAAGCAAATGCAAACCTTGATGATGTGGAGCTTTGGCAGGAGGTTGCAATCAGCTAAAGTGAGCTCATCCCCATCCAGGAATTTCCGGCTGGAAGCAGCGATCTCCTCCCTGCTGTACGCATCGATTTCATCTGGCAGGGGGCTATTTAAATAGTTGTCCAGCTTCTTCAGGGCTTTAAGCAAAGATTTTTCCAAATCTGGGTTAAGACAATAAAAAGATCATTCAAGGCTGCACCAAGGTCCCCGTGACACCAAGCGACTCCTGCATCCTGTCTGCTGGCACCAGCCCAGACATCTGGCTGTGCCAGCTCCTGCAATTCCCTGATCCAAGCTTAAACCTTAATGCTGGGATAAAGGCTCTAAGGAGCTAAAGGGAGTTCTGGGAAAAACCATCCTGGGGCTGTTGTTACCAGGAATGGCTCCTCAAACCCCTCAGACCCCTCTGTGGGGTGGGGTTTGGCTCCGTGGCCTGGCCCTGCCTTCACACTGACTCCAGTGCTGGCCCAGGCAGGGCAGCACAGCTGGGGTGACAGCAGCAGGTCCTGGGGTCCCCTTTGGGGTGTCACAGCCAGGCTGG